CTCTACGCGCTCCATGATCTCCCTCAACAACTCCGGAAGCAAATTGGACCAGGAACCGCCCTCGCCTCTATCCCGTTCGGACGACAGCCGATCCCCGCACGAATGGAGCCCGAGGCGGGCGGACGCCGTCGACGACAACGACGAAGATTTCTTTGCCGATGCATTCTTCACTGACCTCGAGAACCTCCGGGAGAGGCACGATCCCCCCAGCGACATCGCTCTGTTTCTTGGGTTTGAATTTTCCTTTTGGGAAAGAGATAAAGAGAAAATGGAGATTCTAGTGAAGGCGAAAAACAAAAGGGAAATTTGAATGAAATGGAAATAAGACGGCATAACCCCTCTGCAAGCCCTCTAATTATTTGTCTTTGATACCATTAGTTCCTTAACATACATTTATGTACTTTAGCCCTTAAACTTTTTATTATTAATATAATTAGGTTAAAATAGATAGAATATCATCATGTGAATCACATGATCATCATTATTCCATTACCCTATTATTTTTAATACTATGTTGATATAAATATGGTTTATTAGAATCAATGGAAGCAAAAAAAATACTCAAAGCACACATAAATTTTATCCTAAGTAGAATTTTTTTCTACCTTTAAATTTATGCTAGCATGGTGCTAATAAGGATGGGATGACAAATTAGTGATTTTCACAAGACTCATATGATGAAATTCTGGTTATTTTAGCTCAATTATAATAATAATGTGAAATTTATGAGTTAAGATATATAAAGTATATGTTGAAGGACTAATGGTCTCAAAGACAAATAGTTAGAGGACTTATAAGGTGTTAAGCCGAAATAAGATAGAGGGATTAACGGCTGTATGATAAGAGAAGAGACGGACAAATTAGGGGATGACGTATTAAAACGTGGCGGTTCTTGACTTGCGGTGATCGGAAGGAAAGTTCGTGGAAGTTCGTTTTACATTGACGCGGTTTCAGTGTGTGATGTAATAATAATTTATATTTCTAAGGTGTCTGAATTAGACCTGTTACGGGTCGGTCGCGTGCAACGGGTTTGCATTGGGTCAGTTTGAAATTTTGAATTCTGAATTTATTAGATTTGGTTATTTTAGATTATGAGTTAAAAAGGAATAGGTTTATTATTGGTTTTGAATTGAGTTGAGTGTATCAAATATTTTTAAAAATTAAATTAAAAAGTTTTTAATATTTTGTCTTTTTTATAAAAAAATTAATATTAATTAATAGGATAGTATAGGTTATCTTTTTTAAAAATTTTTTAAAAGATTTATCTAAAAATCTATTTTGTAATTAATATTTTTAAAATCAACTATTAGATTAAAAATTCTATTCATATAAATCATACATAAAAATTTTCATATTAATCTAATACTTATAATCATTTAATCAAAACAACTATATTCACTTATATATATTTAACGGTATTAAATTTCTTATAATTAATGAGGTGGTTAGATTTATTAGATCAACTTAAAAATTGATATGCATGATTTATATAAATAAAACTTTTAATCTAATAACTGAATCTTGAAAATATGAATTGGAAGATGAGTTTTAAGATATGTTCTGCGAAACAAATTTGGGAGAACGACTTGAAAAATACATTTTCTTTAATTAATTATTTACTAACAAAAATCTATTAAATTAATATTAACTTTAATAATCTAATAAATAAAAATTATTTTATATTTAAAAATTAAAATTAAAAGTATAATTAATAAAAATTTTAAATTTAAAAAATTAATTAATTTTAATTCATACCACTTTGGGTTAACTCAACCCAATCCTGACCTAAACTATTTGAATTTAGATAATTTCGATATAGGTCATATTGAATTTTGGATTAATAACTTAGAACCATAAC